GCTGCAACTGGTCACCTAGCAGTAAATAGATACCTGCTGCCCCTGGTCACCTTGCAGTAAATAGGCACCTGCTGCCCCTGGTCACCTAGCAGTAAATAGGCACCTGCTGCCCCTGGTCACTTAGCAGTAAATAGGTACCTGCTGCCACTGGTCACCTAGCAGTAAATAGGCACCTGCTGCCCCTGGTCACTTAGCAGTAAATAGGTACCTGCTGCCACTGGTCACCTAGCAGTAAATAGGTACCTGCTGCCCCTGGTCACCTAGCAATAAATAAGTACCTGCTGCCCCTGGTCACCTAGCAGTAAATAGGTACCTGCTACCCCTGGTCACCTAGCAATAAATAGGTACCTGCTGCAACTGGTCACCTAGCAGTAAATAGATACCTGCTGCCCCTGGTCACCTTGCAGTAAATAGGTACCTGCTGCCCCTGGTCACCTTGCAGTAAATAGGTACCTGCTGCCCCTGGTCACCTTGCAGTAAATAGGTACCTGCTGCCCCTGGTCACTTTGCAGTAAATAGGTACCTGCTGCCCCTGGTCACCTAGCAGTAAATAGGTACCTGCTGCCCCTGGTCACCTAGCAGTAAATAGGTACCTGCTGCCCCTGGTCACCTAGCAGTAAATAGGAACCTGCTTGTTACCTGACTTATAAGGTTGCATCCTGGGGAAGATTAAAGAACATCAACAGAAATAAGCCATAATGATGACAGTGTCTTTGTTGGGTTAGCCTGGGTTACTAACACTGGGTTATCCTAGGTTACTAACACTGGGTTATCCTGGGTTACTAACACTCTGGGTTATCCTGGGTTACTAACACTCTGGGTTATCCTGGGTTACTAACACTGGGTTATCCTGGGTTACTAACACTCCAGGTTATCCTGGGTTACTAACAATGGGTTATCCTGGGTTACTAACACTCCAGGTTATCCTGGGTTACTAACACTCTGGGTTATCCTGGGTTACTAACACTCTGGGCTATCCTGGGTTACTAACACTCTGGGTTATCCTGGGTTACTAACACTCTGGATTATCCTGGGTTACTAACACTCTGGGTTATCCTGGGTTACTAACACTCTGGGTTATCCTGGGTTACTAACACTCTGGGTTATCCTGGGTTACTAACACTCTGGGTTATCCTGGGTTACTAACACTCTGGGTTATCCTGGGTTACTAACACTCCAGGTTATCCTGGGCTACTAACACTGGGTTATCCTGGGTTACTAACACTCTGGGTTATCCTGGGTTACTAACACTCCAGGTTATCCTGGGTTACTAACACTGGGTTATCCTGGGTTACTAACACTCTGGGCTATCCTGGGTTACTAACACTGGGTTATCCTGGGTTACTAACACTCTGGGTTATCCTGGGATAAGATAAGATAAGATTTCGTTCGGATTTTTAACCCCGAAGGGTTAGCCACCCAGGATAACCCAAGAAAGTCAGTGCGTCATCGAGGACTGTCTAACTTACTTCCATTGGGGTCCTTAATCTTGTCCCCCAGGATGCGACCCACACCGGTCGACTAACACCCAGGTACCTATTTGCTGCTAGGTGAACAGGACAATAGGTGTAAGGAAACGTGTCGAAATGTTTCCACCCACCGGGAATCGAACCCGGGCCCTCCGTGTGTGAAGCGGGAGCTTTAGCCACCAGGCCACCGGGCCCCTACTAACACTGGGTTATCCTGGGTTACTAACACTGGGTTATCCTGGGTTACTAACACTCTGGGTTATCCTGGGTTACTAACGCTCTGGGTTATCCTGGTTTACTAACACTGGGTTATCCTGGGTTACTAACACTCCAGGTTATCATCGGTTACTAACATTCCAGGTTATCCTGGGTTACTAACACTCTGGGTTATCCTAGGACTAACCAGACTAACATTGTTAGTAACCAGACTAACATTGTTAGTGACCAGACTAACATTGTTAGTTACCAGACTAACAATGTTAGTGACCAGACTAACATTGATAGTTACCAGACTAACATTGTTAGTGACCAGACTAACATTGTTAGTAACCAGACTAACATTGTTAGTAACCAGACTAACATTGTTAATAACCAGACTAACATTGTTAATAACCAGACTAACATTGTTAGTGACCAGACTAACATTGTTAGTAACCAGACTAACATTGTTAGTAACCAGACTAACATTGTTAGTGACCAGACTAACATTGTTAGTAACCAGACTAACAATGTTAGTAACCAGACTAACATTGTTAGTGACCAGACTAACATTGTTAGTGACCAGACTAACAATGTTAGTGACTAGACTAACAATGTTAGTGACCAGACTAACATTGTTAGTAACCAGACTAACATTGTTAGTAACCAGACTAACAATGTTAGTAACCAGACTAACATTATTAGTAACCAGACTAACATTGTTAGTAACCAGACTAACAATGTTAGTAACCAGACTAACAATGTTAGTGACCAGACTAACAATGTTAGTAACCAGACTAACATTGTTAGTAACCAGACAAACAATGTTAGTAACCAGACTAACATTGTTAGTAACCAGACTAACTTGTTAGTTACCAGACTAACATTGTTAGTAACCAGACTAACACTGTTAGTTACCAGACTAACAATGTTAGTTACCAGATTAACATTGTTAGTGACCAGACTAACATTGTTAGAAACCAGACTAACATTGTTAGTTACCAGACTAACATTGTTAGTTACCAGATTAACATTGTTAGTTACCAGACAAACAATGTTAGTAACCAGACTAACATTGTTAGTAACCAGACTAACATTGTTAGTTACCAGACTAACATTGTTAGTTACTAGACTAACATTGTTAGTAACGAGACTAACAATGTTAGTAACGAGACTAACATTGTTAGTAACCAGACTAACATTGTTAGTAACCAGACTAACAATGTTAGTAACCAGACTAACAATGTTAGTGACCAGACTAACAATGTTAGTGACCAGACTAACATTGTTAATAACCAGACTAACAATGTTAGTGACCAGACTAACATTGTTAGTGACCAGACTAACATTGTTAGTAACCAGACTAACATTGTTAGTTACCAGACTAACATTGTTAGTTACCAGACTAACATTGTTAGTAACCAGACTAACATTGTTAGTGACCAGACTAACATTGTTAGTTACCAGACTAACATTGTTAGTTACTAGGCTAACATTGTTAGTAACGAGACTAACATTGTTAGTAACCAGACTAACACTGTTACTTACCAGACTAACAATGTTAGTTACCAGACTAACATTGTTAGTGACCAGACTAACATTGTTAGTAACCAGACTAACATTGTTAGTTACCAGACTAACATTGTTAGTTACCAGATTAACATTGTTAGTTACCAGACTAACAATGTTAGTAACCAGACTAACATTGTTAGTTACCAGACTAACATTGTTAGTTACTAGACTAACATTGTTAGTAACGAGACTAACATTGTTAGTAACGAGACTAACATTGTTAGTAACCAGACTAACATTGTTAGTAACCAGACTAACAATGTCAGTAACCAGACTAACAATGTTAGTGACCAGACTAACAATGTTAGTAACCAGACTAACATTGTTAGTAACCAGACTAACAATGTTAGTGACCAGACTAACATTATTAGTGACCAGACTAACATTGTTAGTGACCAGACTAACATTGTTAGTAACCAGACTAACATTGTTAGTAACGAGACTAACATTGTTAGTGACCAGACTAACATTGTTAGTTACCAGACTAACATTGTTAGTTACCAGACTAACATTGTTAGTAACCAGACTAACATTGTTAGTAACGAGACTAACATTGTTAGTGACCAGACTAACATTGTTAGTAACCAGACTAACATTGTTAGTGACCAGACTAAAATTGTTAGTAACCAGACTAACATTGTTAGTTACCAGACTAACATTGTTAGTAACCAGACTAACATTGTTAGTTACCAGACTAACATTGTTAGTTACCAGACTAACATTGTTAGTTACCAGACTAACATTGTTAGTAACCAGACTAACAATGTTAGTAACCAGACTAACAATGTTAGTAACCAGACTAACATTGTTAGTGACCAGACTAACATTGTTAGTAACCAGACTAACATTGTTAGTGACCAGACTAACATTGTTAGTAACCAGACTAACATTGTTAGTGACCAGACTAACATTGTTAGTAACCAGACTAACATTGTTAGTGACCAGACTAACATTGTTAGTAACCAGACTAACATTGTTAGTAACCAGACTAACATTGTTAGTTACCAGACTAACATTGTTAGTTACCAGACTAACATTGTTAGTAACCAGACTAACAATGTTAGTAACCAGACTAACATTGTTAGTGACCAGACTAACATTGTTAGTAACCAGACTAACATTGTTAGTGACCAGACTAACATTGTTAGTAACCAGACTAACATTGTTAGTAACCAGACTAACATTGTTAGTAACCAGACTAACAATAATGTTAACAATAAAACTTGAACATAAATTATCATATAATAATATTCTAAGTTAATTACAAGTTTCATTTTCTTGTGTAATTATTAATTTCAGTTTTAAAATCTATGTTAATAATGTTAATAAAGTATTACTTTGCTTCCTTGCCTGTCCTTTATCACATTATCTCAATATATATTAATATATCAGTCTTCCTACTTACCTCATAAATCAATCTTCCACTGATAGTTACTCCAACACTATATTATCTCACCACAATTGACAAAAATATACAATAATTTACCCCTGACGCCGCCACTCTTGTTGTTGTTGTGGTTTATAGGGCCACTGTCAGCTACATCGTACCGAACCCGACTCTCCAGTGTCCGTCGTACCGAACCCGACCTTCCAGTGTCCGTCGTACTGAACCTGACCTTCCAGTGTCCATCGTACCGAACCTGACCTTCCAGTGTCCATCGTACCGAACCTGACCTTCCAGTGTCCGTCGTAACGAACCCGACCTTCCAGTGTCCGTCATACCGAACCCGACCTTCCAGTGTCCATCGTACCGAACCTGACCTTCCAGTGTCCGTCGTACCGAACCCGACCTTCCAGTGTCCGTCGTACCGAACCCGACCTTCCAGTGTCCGTCATGCCGAACCCGACCTTCCAATGTCCGTCGTACCGAACCCGACCTCCAGTGTCTGTCATGTCGAGCCTGACCTTCCAGTGTCCATCGTACCGAACCCGACCTTCCAGTGTCCGTCATACCGAACCCGACCTTCCAAGATTAAGGTTTATATGGCCACTGTCACCTACATCTTTTCGAACTCAACCTTCCAGTGTCAGGGTTTGTATGGCCCACTGTCAGCTATAATTCCTATAAAGACCTGAAGGAATTGAACCCTAAGGTCAAGGGTTCCCCAGAACGTATGAAAAAAAAAGCCTTTTGTTAAAAAAAGTCAATTATCCTGTATTCCCATCTGTCATTTATGTGGCATTAAAGGACAAAATCGTCCAGATTATCCCTCTAAAAGAAAATGCGAAAAGTGGGTAGATTATTTAAGGAATGTAACGACCAGACAAATTTCTGCTCAGGAATGGTTAATGGGATTAATGTTTCTATTATATTACGTGACACGAGATGTACATGTACAGTAATTTCTGACAAATTACGTATTCCTTAACTTGACTGGGAATGAACGTGTGAATTGCTCATTACTCTATAATTTGTTCATGATTGCAGTCATACGTAAACGTAAGTAAATTTACTCACATGATTCATTACCTTTGTAACTTGTGAGTTCATTACCTTTGTGCCTAGTTCAGCTATCAAAACTTTGGGGCCCAGTCCCTGGACCCATTATGTACCTCTGTAATGTTGAGGTACAGTCCCTGGGCCCATTATGTACCTCTGTAATGTTGAGGTACAGTCCCTGGGACCTATTGTGTACCTCTGTAATGTTGAGGTACAGTCCCTGGACCCATTATGTACCTCTGTAATGTTGAGGTACAGTCCCTGGACCCATTATGTACCTCTGTAATGTTGAGGTACAGTCCCTGGACCCATTGTGTACCTCTGTAATGTTCAGGAACAGTCCCTGGACCCATTATGTACCTCTGTAATGTTGAGGTACAGTCCCTGGACCCATTATGTACCTCTCTAATGTTGAGGTACAGTCCCTGTACCCATTGTGTACCTCTGTAATGTTGAGGTACAGTCCCTGTACCCATTATGTACCTCTGTAATTTTGAGGTACAGTCCCTGGACACATTATGTACCTCTGTTATGTTGAGGTACAGTCCCTGGACCTATTATGTACCTCTGTAATCTTTTGACTACCGCCTACAGGATTGATATGGGGCTCATAATAAAGATACTAAACAATAAAACTAACTGATAAACACTCTTACACCTGCTTGCTGGAAGTCCAAGCCCCTCACACACAAAACCTCTTCCCCCCCCCCTTCCTCCAATCATTACTAGGCTACCCCTACCCGCCTTCCCTCCTTCCAACCTCTCTGCATGTCGTGCCTAAAAGGTAAAATTGGTCATCTAGTAAGAACTCATTTAAAATTAAGTCCTTTCTAAAATTTTCTCTTATACGTTTAAAGATATATATTTTTTCCATTTATGATAATGTAAATATTAAAAAAATTGTACTAAAAGCACACTGAAATATATTTTTTCGTTAGGTTCAGAATTATATTTGCAAAATTATTGCATACAAAATGGAAGAATAACTTAATATTGAGAAACACGAGAAAAACAAGAAAATGTGATTTATTACCAAGAGACCTAGTTACTGCCTCTCCAACAATGTTGGTTTGTAGTCTACAGTGTTCAAGCTTGTAGTCTACGATGTTCAAGCTTGTAGTCTACGATGTTTAAGGTTATAATCTACAACATACAAGCTTGTAGTCTACGACGTACAAGCTTGTAGTCTATGATGTACAAGCTTGTAGTCTACGATGTTTAAGATTATAATCTACAACATACAAGCTTGTAGTCTACGACGTACAAGCTTGTAGTCTACGATGTTTAAGGTTATAATCTACAACATACAAGCTTGTAGTCTACGACGTACAAGCTTGTAGTCTACGATGTTTAAGGTTATAATCTACAACATACAAGCTTGTAATCTACAACATACAAGCTTGTAGTCTACGATGTTCAAGCTTGTAGTCTACGACGTACAAGGTTGTCTACAAAGTACAAGCTTTTAACAATATACTCTACAAGACGGAGGATTCCAGCAGAAATCGATCCAAAATTCACCAAAGTGGGCTCAAAGCAGCATCATAATTCCATTATAATTGTATATGTATATAATTGTATATGTACGTATATAATTGTATATGTATATAATTGTATATGTACGTATATAATTGTATATGTATATAATTGTATATGCACGTATATAATTGTATATGTATATAATTGTATATGTATGTATATAATTGTATATGTATATAATTGTATATGTATGTATATAATTGTATATGTATATAATTGGTTATAGACGTTCTCGCAGTGGCATAAGATGCTGGTTTTTTTATCAACCTTTCAAATAAAAATAATGATATTGGGAAACAATACACTTATATAAATACAGTAATTGTATCATTGCATTTAATTAATAAGTAAATAACAATAAAATCTCTAAGAAATATTATAACAGTAAATAAACTTAAGACACCAAAATATTCAAAGAATAATGTGCTATGTTTACGTAAGAAAAAATAAAACAATTTTATTTATTATTTTAATTTATTAGTAAATAAAACAGTCGACTCCTTGAGCTGGCTGTTCATTCACTTCTTTTGAATAAATAGTTATGGTGTTTCATTTGAAGGATCGTGGATGAAGGCGGCCAACACCTGAAGCCGCTTCAGGTGTTAAGATAAGATAAGATAAGATTTCGTTCGGATTTTTAAACCCGGGGGGTTAGCCACCCAGGATAACCCAAGAAAGTCAGTGCGTCATCGAGGACTGTCTAACTTATTTCCATTGGGGTCCTTAATCTTGTCCCCCAGGATGCCACCCACACCAGTCGACTAACACCCAGGTACCTATTTGCTGCTAGGTGAACAGGACAATAGGTGTAAGGAAATGTGTCGAAATGTTTCCACCCGCCGGGAATCGAACCCGGGCCCTCCGTGTGTGAAGCGGGAGCTTTAGCCACCAGGCCACTTGTCCTAGTACTCAAGTATTTTTCTTACAGCTGCAACATTTGAAGAAACGATTCAACTTTTTCCACAAAGTCTTCCCTTTGTTAACGCTGCCGTCAGGATCATTATTTGTACTTTTAGATGTGGTGGACAAGTCACTGGATGATCTTCCAACATTCGTGTCACTATTAATGTCGGGTGATTCAGATTGTTACTTAGAGAGTTCAACCAAATTTTCTGGGGGGTCAACCATGAATGAAATACACTATTAAATAAGGTTTTGCACTTGTTTCAAAGCTATGGAGGCACTTTCCTCGTTAATCTTTACTCCAGAAACATAGCAAGTTTCAACAGAAATTGTCTCAAGATTGTAAAGTGCAGAATTTGGTTGAAAGTTAATCCATGGCTCCACGAAATCAACAATTGTGATGTAGGTATCATCATGTGTTACGTCAATATATATGTGATTAGTCCAACCATCTTTTAATATCCAGCCAACCTTATAAACCTTTTCTACTAATCGACACAAAACAGCGACCATTTGTCGCAGTCTTGGATCATCTCCCTTAAACGTATTAAGGAATTTTTTTAACGTAAAGCATTGATGGTAATTCCCCATAAACTCCAATTCTTGAGTTCTGACATTTTTCCATTGACAGTTGAGTGTGTGTGCTAGAGGACTATGTAATATTATCACATCTTCTGGGAATTCAAGCACATTACTACTATTCATATTTATTTTCTATGTTGAATCATCAAAAAAGAGAATGTAGTACCTTTGTTAGTGACACTCGATACTTTGAATCCATTTTATTTGTTTGGTACATAGTGAGTGTTGCACATGAGTTAATGGGTGTTTCTCAATGTCTGAACCAACTTTCACTTTACCATCATCAGTATTTAACCTTGTACTTGACCCTGATGGTTCTACCTACCCATCATGGTGGACTTGTTCGTCTTTTTCTACACTGTGAATACTCATAGACATTTCTGTTGTTTTACTAAGAGAAACTATAGAGTTATATTTCTATTGATCAAGTTCTCAACATATCAGATATAATAGTGAGATATAATGTTTATAGTTTATTTGGAATATTGTTTGTATTATAATAAATATTATTATGACCAGTGACGAGCATTAATAAGGGGGATTACCAACAGACCCCTGGCAGTCTTCAAGCTGGCACTGGACAAGCACCTAAAGTCAGTTCCTGATCAGCCGGGCTGTGGCTCGTACGTTGGTTTGCGTGCAGCCAACAGCAACAGCCTGGTTGATCAGGCTCTGATCCACCAGGAGGCCTGGTTACAGACCGGGCCGCGGGGGCGTTGACCCCCGGAACTCTCTCCAGGTAAACACACAGGAGCTTGGACTCGACCCCTGCAATCTCAACTAGGTGAATGCACACACACACACACACACACACACACACACACACACACACACAAACACAAACACACACACACACACACACACACACACACACACACACACACACACACACACACACACACACACACACACACACACACACACATGCACACATGTGGTAATGCTTTATTTACAGCTAGCAAAGTCAGGGTATTTCTCCAGAATGGTCTGCAATATACCACTGTGGATAAAATACTTTGCCATTTCTTGAACATTTCTGAGTGAGTTGTTTCTAAATTCATTAATTTTATCACACTCCAGTACATAATGACGCAGGGTGTGAGGTCCTTGAAGGTGAGATCCTCCGACATAATCACTCCCAGGTCTTTGACGTTGGTGTTTCGCTCTATTTTGTGGCCAGAATTTGTTTTGTACTCTGATGAAGATTTAATTTCCTCATGTTTACCATATCTGAGTAATTGAAATTTCTCATCGTTGAACTTCATATCGTTTTCTGCAGCCCACTGAAAGATTTGGTTGATGTCCGCCTGGAGCCTTGCAGTGTCTGCAATGGAAGACACTGTCATGCAGATTCGGGTGTCACCTGCAAAGTAAGACACGGTGCTGTGGCTGACATCCTTGTCTATGTCGGATATGAGGATGAGGAACA